GAGGGCCCATGGCAGGGAGCCCGGCTGTCAGCCGGCCCCGCTGCTGGGGCACAGGCTCGCTCCGAGGGGCTCTTTGGCAAGCCTTGGAGCTCACCGTTCTCAGCAGCACCAGGTGCTCCAAGAGGTCATCGTCCTCCTTCACCACGCAGCTCCGGGCGCCCGCGTTCAGCTGGCAGCCTACGGGGACACAGCACCATCTGCACACGCGTGTGCTGCTGCCCCGGGCGAGCCAGAAGCAGCGGGGAGGCTTTGCTGGGCACACACACTGTGAGAAAGGGGAAACACCCCCCGGGTCCCCACGGGGCACGGCCACCGCCTCCCCACTCCACCAAGCCAGCCCAGGGTGCGCAGGTCCATACCCCACAGCGCAGCAACAGGTCTGTCCTCTGACAGCAGCCTGGAGAAGGGAGAAGAGCTGCTCATCCTCCACAGCTGACCCAACACCAGCAACCAGCTCCTGGGGAACAAACACCAGAGAAAGCGGTGTTCGGCTGCTCGGCAGCGGAAACGCGACTCACAAGCACCGAGAGCAAACCCTCCAGCCCCAGAAGCCCAGAGCCAGGAGAGCAGCACGCAGCTCGCACCAGGACAGCGGCTGGACCAGCCCTCCCTGAGCAGGAGAGGGGAGAGTAAATCCAGGCAGCTGCCTGGGCATCTGCTGGAGAAAGGAAAAGCCCCTTAAATGCCTTTACAGACAAAACCAGCTCTAGGAGGACAAGCAGCCTCCCTGGGGCAGGGGAGCACGGTAAGCAAAGGCAGCACAGGGAGCTCGGTGCAGCCCCCCAGCACAGAGCAATTTTGGCTGACCGGAGCAGCTACAACCTGGAGGAAGCCCTTAGTCACGAGCAAGCGCTTGGGGGCCTCGAAACGCCACGCAAGCATCCAGCGCTCCGCCAGCATCAGCACAACCAGCCCGGAGCTGGGGAGTGGGAGGGAGCTGCCCCCCTCCCCACACACACAGTGGGGGTCTGAGGGGACCACAGGGTTTGTGTCCCCCCCAGCAGCCCACACCCAGCCAGGGAAAACAGCACCCAGAGAGGGAGAACCCCAACACCCAGTGCTGGCTGCTAATAAAGAGGAGGGGGACCCCGAGGGCGGTGCCGCTTGGGAACGCAGCGCAGGTGCTGCGGGAGGGGGTCTGCCTCCCCCCAGCTGGCACCAATGCACCCACCACCCCCTCCCCACCGCACACCCCCCGGGAGGACCCACGGCAAGCAAGGAAGCCCATCTGAGCCAACTTTAGCTTGATTAGAGATGAGGACACTAGCCCTGGACAGGCAGAGACGTGGGACAGCCCCCCACGTCCCCTGGGACAGCCCCCCTTCACCCCCTGCCCAGGGCTCACCTGCCATAACACTCATTAACACGGTGCCTTCTGGGGGGCTAACGAGCGGCTCCTGGGCTGGACCATGTCCCTTCACAGCCCGCAGGAGGTCACTGGGGGTAACCCAGAGAGAATGCAGCCATGGGGGGGCCTGGGGAC